TTCATAGTACTTTTAATATTCTTCTCCAATAACATAATCCAAATGCATGAATTCTTCTACAGTGTTCCTTATTAATTGCCCCACTTTCACATGCATATGAGGCTATTGAAAGTACCATGACTTGAGTCAGGTGCAGCTTAGTCCTCAAAGTGACATCTTTGCTCTTGTACACTTTTAAAGGTCTTGTGCTACAGATTTCCTTTACCATCTCTGAAGTGTCTAAATTAATTTAAATGATCCACAAAGTCCCCTTCAACTCTTAGCGTAGTGGTTATGAATCAGGCTTCGAACCGCAAAGTCAGCAGTTCGAAACTACCAGCTGTTCCACAGGAGAAAGATAGGGTTTTCTACTCCTGTAAAGATTTACAGCCTCGGAAACCCTGTACACGGCACATAACAACAACAATAACAAAGTCCCCTTCATCTCTTAGGGTCTAGAACTTTCTCTAAGTAGAGAGCAATGGTGGTGGTTATGTGCCATGGAGTCAGTTCCGACTCATAGCAACCATGTGCAGTGTTTCTGAGATTGTAAATCTTTTGTTTTTTAAGTTTTTATTGTGAATTGAGTGATAGTTTACATGGGAGGACATCAGCTTTACATTCATCCTATCATATTTTGTTTCATTGCAATGATTATAATCCCCTACATTTATCATCATTCAACAGCATTTGCTTTGATTCCCTGGTTTTTTTTTTATTTATTTATTTATTTATTTTTTTTGATGTACACTGAAACACTGAGAAATATATAAACATTCAAACAACCAAAGGGTATACACTGCAAGCCTGCCCCACAGCCGCCAGCTCACATCCCCTCTCCCTCATTGAGTCTAGAGTCCCCAGCCACTCCATGTCTCCACGGCATCATCTCTGCCTCCATCTCTGGAGTTGCTGCTTCTCTGGATAGGGTCCCACACTCCACCCTTCTCCCTTAATGGTCCCAGGGTCCTCCACTCCTGGACTGCAAGATCAACCACTCCCCTCCTTTTGTTACAAAATGTCTACTTTTACATTTGCAACTCTCACAGTCAGTCCTGATAGCAATTATTCACTATTGAACCACAAGAGTCTTATCCCCATCTCCTTTCACCAGCCCCATCTAGACAGGTTGGAGCCAATAGGCAGGTTGGAAACCACTCAGTGGAGATTCAACCTTCCCCCACACCCTCTGAAACTAAGATCCCTCTTGAAAACTTGTAAGCCAGTCACTTCATGCCATTGTAGAGACTGTAAATGTTTATGGGAGCAAAAACCTTCATCTTTCTCCCATGGAACAGTGGGTAGTTTCAAACTGCTGATCTTGAGGTTAGCAGCCCAACTTGGAGCCAGTATGCTACCAGAGCTCCTTAGAGAGCAACAGTCATAGAAATTGAGAGCTAAGTTATCATCGATGTAAATATAATTGTTTACTACTACTATCTTCAGACACTATTCTCAGCATTCAATGTTAACAATAACCTCTAAAGCAGGTATTATTATTATCTTTTCTTTACAGATGGAAAAAAAGGGGGGGGGGGGCACAGGGAAATTAAGTTATGTGCCCTAAGCCACACAGCTACTAATGGATTGATGCTGAACTCCAGACCCATTTGTTTTACCAAAGCCTCATATGTCCTTTCAATCTGCAGTGGGGGGCAAAACAGACATATATAGAAGAAGTTACAGGATAGTTTGATAACTGCTGGAGCCCTGGTGTGGCATTGTGTGTTAGTGTGCCAGACTGCAAAGCTGTTTGAACTGCCAGATCAGTGGTTCAAGCTCACCAGCTGCTCCTTGGAAACCCTACACAGGGTCACTATGGGTCAGAATTGACTCGACAGCACTTAACAACAACAACATAGTCCTAGGGGAAGCACAGACTCTGGAGGAACTAACTCAGAAAAAGACACTGCAAATGGTGGAAGAAAACATGATACATATGGAGAACAATGGTTTCTCTTCTCTTATGACTGAACTTTGGGGTATAAGCAAAGGAATAGTAGGGAGTGAGCTTGGAGAGGTTGGCCAAAATCTGCTTGTGAAAGACCAGAAACCATGCTCAGTCCTTTAGGTTGTACATTTCTTTAAGAAAGGGGGACCATGAAGGGATTTAAAACTGGGAACTAATCCAGACTAGATATGGTGCTGTAGGAAGAGCACTAGCCTGCAAACACAAGGTCAGCAATTCAAACCCACCAGCTGCTCCATGGAAACCCTACATAAGGTCGCTGTGTGTCAGAACCAACTCGATGGCACTTCACAACAACAACATAGCTACAATGTGGAGGAAAAATTGAAAAGAGAAACATCTAGCAGACTGTTCAACAGTTGACGCACAAAATGATTTCATTATCTTTAATTCTGTTTTCCATGAATTTTTAAAGCCTCCTCTTAAAAAAGCACTGGCTAGAATGGGACTGATGATATTGACCTGGGAAGTCTTTGGGAGGTAAAACCTACAGGACTTGATGACCAGTTACTTGAGAGTAGAGGAACAAGTAAGAGAATGGAGATGAGCCTTTGGTTTTTCATTTTCTTGACTACGTAGCTGGTTGGAACTGAGATATGGTGATGGAGGACCATGTTTGGTGATGGAGGTGATACTGTTAACTGAAGTCACTTAAGAAACTCTATGGATACATTCTTGGAGATGAAGAAAGAGCTGGGGTTAGAATGATAAGCTTGAAATCGTCAGAATAAAGGTGAGAACTGAAACTCTGAAAGTGGTAAAAAGATAATGGAGGCCAGTACAATGAGAACATCAACATTTCAGGGGGAAAAGTCAGAAGAGTGAGCTAGCTAAGAAATTGAGGCTGGAGTTCCTATGAGGAAGTTGTTATTGGGAACAGATGTCCCAGAAAAGTCAGGAAAAGCAGGAGCTGATTTATCACAAGGATGACATTTTTAAGAGCTGTCTCAGTGTGTGATTGAAGTAGTCCTGGTGTGGCGCAGGAAAAGAGCTGGTGTGGTGCAGGATAAGGTCAGTTTGAACCACAAGGTAGGCTGTTCAAACTCACCAGCTGCTCCTTGGGAACCCTATAATAGATCATTATGAGTTGAAACTGACTTGATGGCACTTAAAAACAACAACAACAACAATAGCCAGATGATAAAAGATTGAGAAGTGAAATATTGTTGTTAAGTGCCATCAAGTCAGTTCCAACTAACAGCAACCCTGCATAACATTTCCAAGGAGTGGCTGGTGGGTTTGAACCATTGATCTTGTGGTTAGCAGTCCAGTGCTTATCTTACAGCGCCACACAAAAATGAATTGTTGTTGTAACTGCCAACCATGTGGTTCACAGTCTAGTGTGGATCCTACAGTGCCACACCAGGAGCCCACAAAAGTGAATAGGAGTTGGAAAAGTAGGTGGTAGATAATTCTTCGGACAGGTTTGGTAGAGAAGGGAGAGACTGAAAAAGAATGGTAGCTAAATTGGGATAAAGGAAAATGAAAGTGCTTTGTTTTGTTTTCTAAGATAATTGAGAGGGAGGGAACATTGAGGAAGTTGAAGATGCAGAAAGAAGAAGCTCACCTTTATAAGGCAGCAAAAATAATTTCTTATAGATGTATTATAAATGAGGAAACTGATTCCCAAAGAAGGGAACAGACTTGCACAGCCAGGAACTGAGTTGTAAACATAGGTTGACCTGATTTCTAAAATAATTTTTTTCCCATTGCACCCCAAGAACAAATCAATTGTAAGACCATATACAGAGTAGATATTAAGGGTGAAGATGGGCTTAAAGTTGAGAGTGACCTCACCTACCCAACTCATAGTTTTCTTTTTATGATGTGGGCAACAGAGGTACTCAGCTCACAAAGAGGGGTGGGACTAGACAGTGAATTAAAAGATGAGCATAATCATGAAACTATGGCTGCAGGGTATGGTAGAGTAAGGGAGATCTGAAAAAGCTATACATTTACCCTATTGATATTACAAACTGATGTGAGTGACCTTGATTTTGGAGGACTAGGAACAGGACTGGTAAGGTCAGTGGGTCAGGTTTGGGTGATTTTGTATGGTCTGGGGATAATAAGGAGAGAAGAGTTGAGGGTTGAGACAAGACTCTAGACTGTGTCAGGAAGAGAAAATATTAGCCAGACATATGGGGAAGCAGTGGGCTTGTGGAGAATTAAAGGGACTCTTGGGTTGAGGTGGTCCTGCGGTAGAAATTGTCACCAGAGAGGAAGATTTTCTTGGAAGCCTCAATTGTTTTCCGCCATCTATTTGCCTTCATTCTGCTTGAATTGTGTGCTTTGTAATGCTACCTCTGTATTTAATCAATGAATGGCATTTAATATCCATTCCCAGAGCACCTCTTTGCCTGAATCATTAATTCTGAGTCTTAGAGTTTAAGAGGAGATAATAGAAGGTTTACGAGAAGGAGGTTTGGTCAGATTATGAAAGGTATGAAAAGATTGACTTATCTAAAAGACTAAGATGGAGTTGAAGGCTTATCCAATGACACTGATAACAGAATGCTCAGGGATGACAGTTTGACACCACAAAGCACTGTTCTGTTTGCTTAGCAACTGCCAGACAAGAGTCACTTCATGAGTCTATGTATTCTGAACTGAGGAATCAAATTCTTAGCCATGGAGTAGGCTCTATTGGGGATGGAGTAATACAAAAGGGATGCAGAATCCTCAACCTAGAGTCTACGCATTAATTGGGATGTGGGAAATAAGTGGGAATGTGGTGTGAAAGTCCACAGCTAAAGTATGGATGCAGTTCTTTGGCATCTTCAATCAGGGGGAGGAGGAGATTAGAGAATTCTTCCTAGAAATAAGAGATTAAGGGGGCAAGCAGAACAGCATATACACAGGCACCAAGCTGTGAAATGGACTGACCTGTTTTGGCAGCTGTCTCTGGGGTCTGTAATGAGGCAATGGGAGTGAGACTGAGAAGCAGGGAACCTACAAGTGAACATTCTGATGGTGAAGAGTATAGGCTAGAGTTGGTTACCATCCAAGCTTTTAATGAAGACCTTCAGTCTCTCTCCTTTGATTTTTTTTGTCATCCACAGATCTGATGTCTCTTCCTGCTCATAATGAGCATAGCCCTACTCATTCAAGATGAGCCTCATGGATATCAACAAGATCCTCTCCCTCCTGCAGCCCGAAAAGGAGGAGGAGGACACTGATACGGGGGAGAAACAGGCTCTCAATCAGGCAGTATATGACAATGACTCCTTTACATTGGACCAGCTTTTGTGCCAGGAGCGTTACAAACGTTTTATCAATAGCAGGAGTGGCTGGGGCATTCCTGGAACACCCTTGCGTTTGGCAGCTTCTTATGGCCACCTGAGCTGTTTGCAGGTCCTCCTGGCACATGGTGCTGATGTCGACAGCCTGGATGTCAAGGCACAAACACCCCTTTTCACTGCTGTCAGTCATGGCCATTTGGACTGTGTGCGTGCGCTTCTGGAAGCTGGTGCTTGTCCTGGTGGTAGCATCTACAACAACTGTTCTCCTGTGCTCACAGCTGCCCGTGATGGTGCTGTCACCATCCTTCAGGAGCTCCTAGGCCATGGAGCAGAGGTCAACGTGAAGGCCAAACTGCCAGTATGGGCATCAAACATAGCTTTGTGTTCTGGTCCCCTCTATTTGGCTGCAGTCTATGGGCACCTTGATTGTTTCCGTCTGCTTTTGCTCTATGGGGCAAACCCTGACTACAACTGTACAGATGAGTGCCTTTTGGCACATGTCCCACGACCCCGTACCCTCCTTGAAATCTGCCTCCGCCATAACTGTGAACCAGAGTACATCCAGCTGTTAATTGATTTTGGTGCTAAAATCTACCTTCCATCTCTCTCTTTGAACCTGAACTCACAATATCATAAAGGTGTTGCATTACTTCTAGAGGCTCGAGGTGAGTGGTGAGCAGAACATCCCTATAAGCTTCTTGGCTCAGGGGGTCCCTGGGCCTCATATTATCCCTAAAGTTAATTCTTTGGGAATGAATCAGAGAAAACATCATCTCCCTCCCTCTCCTGGGATCCCAGTGGACAAACAGTTATACATTTAATGTTAGGGAAAGGGTAAATGAGATGAGGATAGAAGTATCCCAGTTTCTGGTTTCACTTTGTTAATGACAGCTTTGTGCGCTTAAGCAAACCCTCTCTGGGTCTTTGTGGGTCCTCATTATTGGTATCAAATATCGGGGGCCAGGAGAAGGGAAATTTCTGAGAAGAGAGATGGCAATTAAGGGTGGGAACCTAGGCTGAAAATTATTCCTCATGACCTGTTTCTCCTTGCTGTAGCTACCCCACGATCACTATTATCACAGGCCCGTTTAGTTATCCACAGAGCCCTTTGCCAGGCTGGCAATCCACAAGCCATCAACCAGCTGGATATTCCCCCCGTGTTGATCAACTACATCAAACACCAACTGTAATCTTGCAGTCATCCCAAGAATTCATAATGCTTCCAAAAACCACCTGGAGACTCTGGTAGCTGGAGGGCACTACAGCTCTACTCACCTGTCTGGAAGTGCTCTCCATTATCCTCCACAATAAATCCTTCACAAAATAAGTTCTGGTGACTGTTCTGTCTGGTGTGTGTGTGTGTGTGTGTGTGTGTGTGTGTGATGTTGTTGAGGGAAGGGGTGGTGGCCATGGAGACAAATGGTAGTGTTCTGACATATGAATGGCACAAGGTTCCTGGCCACTGATAAAGCAAAAGAGAAAACAAACGAATGGGCCATACCTCCCCAGCCAAGATTCTCTAAAGAGTTTTCAGTTACTCTGGAAGCAAGATCCTGAAGAATGCAAGTGAATAGAAGGTAGCATCAACTTTATAAGCTCCGGACTTCTCCACCTTCCCTCACTTTACTGATTGCTACAAGACACATTTTCAGGAGCTGCACTTGTGGCAAGTGTCCCAGGAATCCTCCATTTCTTTGAAGCAAGTGTCCCAGGAGTCTCACCTCCATTCACTCACCAAGAATCATAGACTGTAAACCCACTAGTGTACTTTATAGTCAAAGTCTGACTGAGAATACAAAACAACAAATAATAGCAGGGAATTTGATATAAAATAGAAATTGGTTATATGAATGATAGATTGAGAAGACAAATAGGACAGGAAGGTTAGTCACAATAGGAAACCAACATCACCCCTAGGTCACAGTATTAAGGGAATAGGAATTTTGAGAATCCAGGGACAGGGTTAACTTGATTTAAACTAGAATACTATGTCTGTACACAAGAGCTGCAACCATAAGAGAGACACTCTGCTACTAGAGAAATTGCTAAAACTAGAAGAAAAGAAGAAGAACCCTCTTCTTTCTGTCATCTCTACCCTCTAAATCTACCTCCAGTGTCTCCCATTGAGAAAAAACAAAATTATGAGAATCTGGGAAATGCAGCCTACAGTAATCAGTCCCCTTTCAATACAGGACAGAGCAGGGGAAGGCAAAGGGTGAAAGGACAATGCAAGTAGGTGTTGGTGTGGCCTGAGCCAAAAACTAGAATCACACAGAATAAGTTGAAAATATCATGAGAGTAGGTGCCACAGAATAGACACAATAGAGGCTTTTCCAATTTGACTGTACTCTGTCCAGTTCCTCCACCAGTTGTCTATCAATTTGTCATACTGTGGTGGCTTGTGTGTTGCTGTGACACTGGTAGCTATGCCACTGGTATTTTAAATACCATCAGGGTCACTCATGGTGGACAGGTTTCAGTGGTGTTTTCCAGAGTGAGACTAAGAAAAAAGAGAGATGAACTATTTATGAATGTTTAACCACCAAAAATCATATGAATAGCAATGGAACATTGTCAGATATAGTGCCAGAAGATGAGCCACTCAAGTGGGAAGGCACAAAATACAACTAGAGAAGAGCTTCCTCCTCACATAAAGACGTGAATGGAGTAAAGCTTTCAGGACCTTCATTTGCTGATGAGGCAGAACTCAAAATGAGGAGAAACAGTTGCAAAACATCCATTAAAAATCAGAACATTGAATATGTGAAGCATGAGTCTAGGAAAATTGAAAGTTTCACAAATGAAATGGAACGCATAAATATTGATATCATAGGCATCAGTTAGCTGAAATGGACTGGTATTGGCTATTTTAAATCAGCAATCATATGATTTACTATGCTGGAAAAAAATTCAAGAGGAATGACATTGCATTCATCACTAAAAGGACATTTCAAGATTATCTTGAAGTACAATACTGTGTGTGATAGGATAATATGCATACACCTACAAGCAAGACAAGTTAATGCCACTATCATTCGAATTTACACACTGACTACTAAAGCTAATGATGATGAAATTGAAAAATTCTACCAGTTTCTTAAGTTTGAAATTGACAAAATATGCAATCAAGATGCATTGATAATTACTGATGATTGGAATATAAAGGTTGAAAACAATGAGTAAAGATCAGTAGTTAGAAAAGATGGCCTTGGTGATGCAAATGATGTTGGAGATCACATGATAGAATTTTGTAAACAAATGACTTATTATTTGGAAGCAAATTGATTACATCTGTGGGAGAAGATTCTGGAAAAGCTCAATATCATCAGCTAAAATAATACCTGGGGCATATTGTAGAATGCTCATCTGCAAGGTCAAGTTGAAGTTGAAGAAAATTAAAACAAGTCCAAGAGACCCTTGAATATTCCCCATCTGAATTTAGAAACCATCACAAGAACAGATTTGATGCATTAGACACAAATGATTGAAGTTCAGAAGAGTTGTGGGATGACATCAAGAACATCATACAAGAAGAAAGCAAAAGGTCATTTAAAATACAGCAAAGAAAGAAAAGACCAAAATGGATGTCAGAAGACACTCTGAAAGCTGCTCAAGAGCATAGAAAAGCTAAAGCGAATGGAAGAAATGATAAGGTAAAGGAGCTGAATAGAAAATTTTGAAGTGCAGTTCAAGAATACAAAGTCAAATATCACAAAGAAATGTGCAAACAACATATTGCATTAGGCATGTCTGCTCCACAAGATCTCTTTAAAGTGTTCAAGAGCAAAGCTGTCAGTTTGAGGATTAAGGTGAGCCTGACCCAAGTCATTGTATTTTCAGTAGCCTCATATGCATGTGAAAGTTGGACAATGAATAAGGAAGAGTAAAGAAGAATCAACATATTTTAATTATGATATTGGACAAGGATATTAAAAGTACCATGGACTGCCAAAAAAACAAGCAAATGTATGTTGGGAGATGTACAGCCAGAAGACTTCTTAGAAGCCAGGATGCAAGATTTCATCTCATATTTCTGACGCATTAACAGGAGAGACCAATCCCCAAAGAAGGACATCATGCTTGGTAAAGTGGAAGAGCAACAAAAAGAGGAAGACCACCAGTGAGATGGATTGACACACTGAAAGCAGCAATGGGTTCACACATAACAATTGTGAGGGTGGTACAGGATCGGACAGTGTTTTGTTCTGTTGTGCGTAGGGTTTCTGTGAGTCAGTACTGACTCACTCGATGGTACATAAAAACAACAAGTCACTATTGCTGACTGAACCCAACCAGAATGTGATTGATTGGGGAGCCTGGGAAAGATATCCTACAGGTGTCAGCTCCCCTATGATGTGAAGAAGAATAGAGATCTGTAGGTAAAAAGCCCTAAATCAGTACAGATAACCACCCCCATTCAGCTACCTTCATTTTACCAAATCTTCACCTTTCCACAGTACCTTCTTGTATTTCTCTTGCACATCTGTGGGTTGGGATGTGGATGAGTAGTGAAAGAGACACAAGAGAAGGGGAAGAGGAGAAAGAACCTAGACAATTTGTGTAATATAAGCACTTGAGATATTTATAACCTTTTCTGGGACCTTCCCTGAGAGTCCTCTTCATCGTGGTCCGTTATCATGAGGAAAGGGAGGCAGAGAATTGTCTTGGACTGACTTGTCTCTGCTCCCTCTCCCTTTCATTACTTGTTCTAGGTTCTAGTGCCTAGGAGGCTTTTGGAAGGCAGGTAAGAAAACTGGATATCTATCTCTGTGCTCTTGCCCTTCTCAGCTTTTACACTTTCATTCTTAGGCAATTTAAATTAAAGAATCCTGCCACTTTTACCTCCAAGGAGCATGAGACTGAATGCACTGAGCCATAAATACAGGTAAAGGATCTTAGGACAAGCCAACTGACCACTCTCTCATTTTCCTTCCTATCTGGGCTCTTAAAGGGTGAGTTTGTCCAGGACTCCACCCTGGTCCTACCCCTCATCCCCTTAGTTAGAATTCTTGGGGATTAGGAGTCAACCTCAGAAGTCTCATCTGTCCTAGGGCCCTAGGTCAGGGTGACTTCTCCCCTGGCATCTCCCAAGGCACTGAGGACACAGCTTCTCTGTTTACTTTTTTTTTTTTTTTTTTTTTATGAACATATGCACATACTATATGTATTTCAATGGACTTGTGTTCAACAAGTTTATAGCAGTGCATCAAATTGTCTTAGTCCCATTTCCAAGAGGAGGGTACTGAGAACCTGACATAGTTAAGTGCCCATGTTACTGGCAGTCCATCTCTCCAGATTACTCCCACCTGTTCTTTTTCCTAGTGGGTAGACCCATCTTCAAGAACTAGTCCCTTAGTTCCTCCATTTCCCAGAGCCTCACCCTTCTCATGAATACAATAAGCTATTGGTTAGAATGTTTTTTAGTGCCATTGAGTCAGTTACAACTCCTAGCAACCTTGCATAGTGTTTCTAAGGAGCAGCTGGTGGTTTTGAACAGCTCACCTTCTGGTTTTTAGTCCAATGCTGATCCTACAGTGCTACACCAGGATTATCTCAAATAGTTTTTCCATTTCTGATGATGAGTCTTCCAAAGCACTTTTCCTAGAAGGTATGAGGAAGATGTAAGGTGGCTTCCCTGTTGCTGGAATAGTCTCATCTTTGGCCTTTAGACTTTCACAAATCCCATTTTGACACTGGGCCTGGGTGAGAGTATACTCTTCCCTACTCACCCCCCAGAAAGGCCAAGCCTTAACCACTTCAGATGAGTTAGCCTTCTTCATTTCTCTCCTCTTTTCCCTCCCTCTATCCTTTTCTCCTCCCTTCTCACTTCATCTTTCCCTTCTTTGCTTCTTCCTTCCTTCCCTTTCTCCCTTCCTTTTTTCTTTGCTTCCTTCCATTCTTCCAGGTACTGCTATGAGCCTGGAGACCCACTCAGCTTTCCACAGAAATTTCCCATTGCAGAAAAGAAAGTAGTCTTCAGCAATGGAAAACAAAATTATGTTGCTTTATTTGGGACAGTCACCACACCCCCAAACTAGATCTAAAGTGAAAAATGGTCAATGGGACTCTAGAAACCAGTGAAAGATCCTTTAGCTGGTAATTTGTGGGAAGACCAGATGAATCTTGGTCTTGAATGGTCGGAAGGATTTTAATTAGCAGAGAAGAAGGAAAAAGTGAAAGGAATTCAGAGAATAAAAGCATAGAGGGGGAAATGCAGGACAATTTGGGTAAGCAATTCAATTAGGCTTGTGTCCAGTGTATTTGAACAGGAGCTAGGTGGGGGACTAGACTGGAAAGAACTCTCACTACTACCATCTTTTGGACTTGAA